CTAATCTTTTCATTTACAAGTTGCATTTCAAGTTCTAGTTCTTGGATTCCTTTCACTCCTTTTTCAGTTTCTTAGTTGTGTTTTTCATTTCCGTTTTCTATATGAAGATTTTTGACTTTTGTTTTTTGAAAACTATCAGAATTGTCTGCTGGAGTGTTGTGTGTGTCTTCCTGCAACTGGGCTTTTATTTGTTAACTGGTTTTCTGCAAATTCTTAATTTCCTCATCTTTCTGCTCCATCACAGAAGGCTGCAGTTGACTACATTCCAGCTTCAAGTTTTCACGCTGTTCCATTGTTTGTTGCTTTTGCACACTGAGCTGATCTTTTTCTCTCTTCAAGAACTCTATGTCATTTTGTGCCAAAGATAATTGTTTATTTATGTCTTTTAGTTGATCCTCAAGTTGTTCGATCTTCCTGGCAGACTCTAGTTTTTCAGTGTGTTTGGCATAGCAGTGGCCTTAGCAGAAGCCACATTCTCTGTTCCCTTCCTTGCCGCAGAGACTTTTCTGAGTGGCACTTGTCATGTCCTCTCATAGGGCAGATTCTTCAAGGCCACACCTACTCAGCAGGCCAGGTGGGTGCTGTGCCACTGTGGCTAGGCCTTGGGCCTTCAGGCTCCTTAGCTTCCCTTCTTCTGGTGCTGGGTCCCCTCAGTGGGAGTCACCACCATGATGGGCCATGAGGGGTCCTGGTGCAGAACTTAGAGCATAGGGCCTTCCCACTGGCTCCACCTGCTTCCTGGACACTGTGTGTGTGTGTGTGTGTGTGTGTGTTTTGCAGGAGTTGGAGCCAGGGCCTTGTGCATACAAAGCATGTGCTCCAATAGTGAGCCACACCCAGCCCTATGTATAACTTTTCCTCTCAGCATAATGTTTAGGAGACTTAGCTGTGGTGTTCTGTGTACTAGTACTTTATGTTTTCATTATTGCTGATCATGGTCCATTGTATGATTATATAAAAATGTTTTGTTTTCTGTTGATAGATGTTTGTATTTTGTCAAACTTTTGGCTATCAGGAATAATGCTGCCAGGAAATGTTCTTGTAGAAGTCATTCATGGGCAGTGAACTAATCTCTCTTGAGCATGTGGTGTAGTCCTGAGTCCTAGAGTAGGTGTATGTTTGGTTTCATAAGGAACTAACAAAGAGCATGCATGAGAGTTCCAGTGACTGCATATCCTCAGCAACCCTTGAGAATGACCATTGAAATTCATTAACCATTTTGCTGAGCATCTGTTTGTAGTTTTAATCTGCATTTCTTGGGTCATATCCTGAGCACCCCTAGGATCTATGTTGGTTGTTAGAATGTATTTTGTGAAATGCTTGCTCAAGTGCTTTGTTCATTTTAATGTTGAAATAACTTTTGCTTATGGATTTTTAGGGTTCCTTTGTATATTCTCTATATAGATTTTGTATTAGTTGATAGCTGATGTATTTACAGCCTTAATGATATCTTTTGATAATGAGATGTTTATGATTTTAATCCGGGCTGATTTACCAATTTTCTGTTTTGGTTTAATGCATTGAGTCCTGCAATATAAGAAATCCTTACCTACCCCAATCCAATATCAGAAAAAAATTTGGTTTTGATTTTTTATATAGATGTAGACTAAATCTAAAAAACATTTGTGTGTGTGTGTGTGTGTGTGTGTGTATAGCTTGGATGAAGGACAAGAGTTTATTATTCTCCATGCTGGTGTTATTCCAACACCATTTTAAAAAATACCATCCTGCCCCATGTGATTGCAGAGGTGATCTTAGATGTAAATTAAGTAAACATACAGTAAATGCAGCCATGTACTACTGTGCAGTGGGGAATCCCCTCCTTGGGCTTGAGTACTCCCACATCCCTTCCTAAACAGGCAACCACAACCAGTTCCACATCTGGGCTTGCAGTCTCAGGCTGCCTTCTCTGAGCTCTCCTGGACTGCCCAGAAGCTTTCATGGGCCATGCCTACACTTGAGTTCACAGCTGGACCCAGGCACTGTGCTTCCAAATCTTCACTTGACTGTTTCCCAACCAATTCTATCCCTGTCTTTGGACTGAGAGGCACGGGCTTTGCCAATGTTCATCATGCCAGCATCCAGAGATGTTTGCTAAGTGCAAGGTGCAGGTAGAAAGTTACTCATGGTGTGCCATTGTTGTCACACACAATCAAGACAACCCCTGTGCAATGCACCCCTCATTGGTTCACTAATATTTCTTTAACTCACATCCTTATCTAGGCTGTTTCTGACCATGACCAATTATTAAGGGTAGACCTTTAACTTTCTTAGTTCCCTATGTTTTTAAGCATGTCGAATAAAAATAAGCATCTGGGAGAAACACACTAAATGTAGGAAGATGGGTATTTACCAAGAGAAATGGATGAAAAATGTGAATTAATTTTTTTCAAAGACCTTTGATAAAGTTTCTGCATGGATATCCTCGTGTAAGGGACAGAAGATCAGTGTGCCTTGGTAAATAATGTAGTATCTCCAGAGGAGTTGGCCTTATGAAAAAAAAAATTAGCAGATTTTAATATGATCCCTATAAAAAATAGTGACACAGTTCAGTGATGAATGAAAGAGGCAAGTAATTTGTGTTGTATTCAAATGATAGAAACATGGGAACTTAAAAATGACATTTTGAGCATTTATAATAAAAGTGAAAATGTTTATAATCCAACATAAGATAACATATAAAGTATGAATATGTGTATATTAACTCTCAAATATGGAAATTTCTGTATTGATGGAAGAAATAAAATTTTAAAAAAGCATTAAAGTTTAAAGATGGGTTTTATTTCTTAACAGGGTGAATGGGTTATTTCTTCTTTATACTTTACCCTATTACATACATCTGAAAGATATTTAGGCTATTACAGATGTAGAAACTGAGAAACAAAAATTTTGTATAATTTAGTTTACATCAGAGAGGGTTAGTAGTTAACAGGGGTGCTTATTATTATAGGTCATTAATTATGATATTTACCTAATTCTTTTAAGGACCTGATATGTTTTTGAACATAAGGCTTACTCAGAGAAGAGACCAGGAAACTACCTGTAAAGGCCATCTAAAGTAAAATATATGCAATGATCCAGACATATTATAAGTATTATGAAAATGCTTAAAAGAAAATAATGAATGCTTTTATTATCATCATTTCATAGCACATTTACTCAGATATCTTCAGTGAGCATGTGTTACTTATCCAAGCTCACATGGTTACCAGAGTTATGATTGGAGTTAAGTAATCTTTGTCCTACTCTTCTCACCTGTCACAGGGAGATCACTATAATACCACTTCTCAGGATTTGGTGACACGGAAAATGGCAGCAAAAGAATCATTTAAAACACCATTAGCCAGTCCTCAGTACATGTTAGATATGTTATTAATTGTAAAGCCTTATTGCTACAAGTAAAAATGAGCAATACTTAAAAATAACCCTCTCTTTGACAGTATATGTGAGAAAACTCCAAAATTGTTTTATCTAGTGTACCAGAGAGCCCCAGAGAGCAGTGGAGAGGTGTCTGCAGTGAGATGCCTGGGCTAGATCTTAGAGAACTCCCTGGCAGACTTGCAGGACTCAAAATATTGGGCAAATAATGGGGAAAGAGACACAGAGCCCCAGCACTTTCCAGGGATGGAATACCACACAGCCTCTGAAATCAGTGTATTATGGATTTAGCAGCAAAAGTAGAAAATGTTCACAGTACAGTATAAAGAAGTGTTTATGGAGTATATAATAACTTTTTAAAATTTATATTTGTTTTGATAGAAGGATTTTTTTTAAATGGGAATATAATTGTTCAAAATTTGAAGAATGATCAAGGAAATTTGAAAATTCCCAAGGAAATACATTACTATGCGTTCTGCCACACGGTGTTCTTAATTTTGCATGTTTTCCTTAACAAGAAACTATGGTTTTGTTGAAAAAAAATTTCAAAAAGTAATTTTATCTTGAGGCTGGGTTTGTGGCTCTGTAGTAGAGCATGCGCCTTGCACACGTGGGGCACTGAGTTAGATCCTCAGCACCACATAAAAATAAATAAAAGTATTGTGTCCATCTACAACTAAATAATATATTTAAGAAGTAATTTTATCTTGATAGATGATAACAGTAATACTAAGAATAGATAATATCATTGAAGAATCATGATGTGTTGAGTACTAATATCTGTGAATTTTATGCATTATCCTTGTATAATATGATAATGTAAGCACTTTACCACCTCTAAAAATACTTATGTAAGCACCATACTCTTATGAAAACTGAGGCCCCAGATCTTAAATATCTTATTTAATATTCTATATAGTTAAGTGATAAAGGAGGGCATTAATTGTCTCTTGTCCTAAAAAATAATGTTCATATAGATTATCTAAAGATCTGCATTATTGGTCCCAATTATTTAACCATAATAAAATAATATAAAGGCAATTATGCAAATCTCACTAAATATATATATGAATAACACCAAGCAATCACATATCTATTCATTACTATGTAGAAAAAAGTTTTGAATGAATCATTTAATGCTTTTTCCACTGCCCTTCTTCTCCAGATGGAAATGATTGTAATACCCACTTCACAGGACTGTGGAGAGAGTTAAATGAAACAACATAAGGAAACCTCTCGAGCTTTGTCTGAGAAGTAGCAAGTCCTCAGTGGCTATTAGATGCTATCATTGAGTATTAAATATAACATTAATTTGAGGCCACCCTTACACACAACAAACATTCATGAAATTCAATGGATAAGGGAGAATAGAAGCTGATTCCTAGAGATTTTTCTGTATTGAACCTTCCAGAAATTGCAGTCCAGTTTCTTCCTAGAGGTACCCAGATTAAGGTTGAAATGTGACTCTTCTGAGTGATAATCTGCTTGGAGATATCCCGATTGCTTTAAAAAGAAACAGAAATATACTCTAGTACTTGTATATATGACATATTGAATAATGTTACTGAAAGCCTCTGAGTCTCTTGGTTGTGATATTGAAAAATTAAGGTCAGGATTCTTACCTGAATTCTGACTCAAGAGAAAATCACAGGCAGACAGACATGATGACAGGATGCAGCAGCCATGTCTTCATAGGTCCAAAGCAATAGTTTACAGTGTGAAATTGCAGAGGGAAAGGGTGAGTAGGTAACAGAACCATTCCTCCCACCAAACAAGAATAACAGTGTGTGTCAGGGAGTCTTTTCACAGAGTTAATACATATATCCAATCTGCTCAGCTCATGTGGTGCAGGAAACCCCAAAACCACTCATAATAGCAGCAGATCTTGAAAAACCCAGAAAATCACCTGACCCTCCACTTTTTTGAGACACTAGAACATCCATACCCTCCTGCACTGACCTGAGGCCTCAGCTCCCAGGATTGTCACTTTCTCATCCTATCTTCCCTCTGGCCTTGTGAGTTGCCCCTTGCCACTTTAGTCTCCAGGAGAAAATTAAGTCATTCTTTTTTGTAGCTTCTTTGTGTATCATTTGTTCATGGGATTTTTTTTTTTTTTTTTTTTTTTTTTTTTTTTTGCAGTTGGACTTGGGCAATTGGAGCAACCTGAAATATCAATTTCCAGAGCAAAAGATGAGAGTGTTGACATACATTGTAAAGTGTGGTTCCAAGATAGTCTCAGATTAAGCTTATAATGGTACCAACAGAAACCAAATCAAGGTTTAGAGCATCTGTTATATGTCTGAACAACTGCTCAAAGGGATTTAGGCAGGAAGAACAAATTTGAGGCCAGTAAAAATACAAAACACTTTCATTTCAATCTTGACAATATTTTTCTTAGAGAGAGAAGATGTGTCCACTTCTTACTATGCCTATGGAGAGGGCACAATGTTATAGTTGCCAGAATAACCCTCACGAGAAACACCTCCAGGCCTCCTTCACATATGGGCAGCCACAGTGGCTGCTAAGCTGGGTACTCAGTCTGAGCCTCCTCTCCCTATTGCACTTCTAGAGTTTCCCAGGGTTTCTCCTGGATTCTACTCTTCCATTGATCCCTGCACAGTATTAACAATTATACTCTGAAAATACAGGGTGGATGGCAGACCAACAGTACAGTCATTGTTTACTTGACTGTACAGATTTCCAACAATTGAATGGTTCAAAATGAAGGCAGGAGAGAGTTAAATGCCTGGAGAGATGTGCAACTATTATATGGATATTTTCTGTGACTGTCATTTTCCCATTTTACACCTGAGCACTGGAAGTTTTCAGAGATAGGATGATCTGTCAGACATGATAATTGTATGCCTTCATTGGTATCCTGAGACAATCTGAAAAAATCTAGTGATATTTAAATCTATAAGGAAACATCAGCTATTAGGGGTCTATGAGAAATCATTGTACAAATCTTGTATATGGGGAAAGAGGAAGCAGCTCTCTCTACACTCAGGACTCCTGGCTGGGACGAAACAAGCTCAGCATATGCCCTGAAAACTTTATATGTCAGCATTCTGCAAAGAAAGCCAAAAATCCCGAATAAGAGGAATAGACAGTTAAAACGAGATAATACCTGCTTCCTGCATCTACAGAGAATGAGAAGCTAGTATTTCCCACAATCAGCAAAGGAAAAAGTAATTATTGACAATTATTTTACATCTATTCTGTTAATACAAGTTGGATGTTTGAGAACATTCAAAAAGTAGAGGGACAAAATGTTAAGTGAAAAATATGAAAACTCCACTCCTACCTTTGTTATAATCTACTTTCAAACAAGGCAGAAATTAACGTGAAAAATTCTTACATTGGACACTTTTCTCATATTGATACCTTTTATAGATTTCTTACCACATAGTATCCATGCATATAGTTTTTCTGAAATTACTGCAATGTGATCTTGCTCCATTTCTCTCTTCTAAAGATCAGGTTGTGCTATTAAGAGCAGAGATGCTGTTGAATCCCAATGAGGGAACACCAGGGGGCTCCAGGGCATGTTTGGGGGGTAGACTTAGGACCTCAGCTCCCACACCCTGTTTCTGGTGATTCCTGACCCTGGGGTCACAGTAGGATGGACCAGAACACCTAAATCTCAACAGACATTGATGAAAAAAACTTGGAAAGAAGTTTTAAAAAATTTAAGGAGTGATCATCTGTGAAAGGATGGATCATTTTAACTTCTTGATAATTTACTAGTATTTGTGCATTTTAACAAAAATCTTCTACTGAATATAAAAATAATAATAGTTTAACAACATATTGTTTTTCTACAGTTTAAAATTGCTATGTCATACTTTGAATATACACTTTAAAGACTTTTCTGGAGTCTTTCTGCTCTATTTATCTATCTCATTCTTCTTACATCCTTACCACATTATGTCAGTAGCTCTGCTATTACCATTAGTATCTACCATGCTAAATGTCTACAACTAGGTTTTAGTCACAGTCTCATGTTTATGCATCCTTTAAGAATATATAATATGCCCTATTTTTAATATAACCTAGAATAAAAAATAAAATTTTATGGTGAATTTGATTAGAATTGTAGTCATTTACATATAAATTTAGTAGGTATAGTCTTCAGTATTACTGTACTTTTTATCTTCTTGAATTTGCCTTTCCATTTATTAAGGTTTTATTGTGGGTCTTTGGTAAAACTTCACTCAGTGCTGTTAATAGATTTCTCACATTTTTTGTATAAATGTAATAACAAATTTTAAAATTAACTCCTTTTCCATTTTATTAAATTTTTCATGGCTCTAGAAATACAGACAATGTTTGAGGCTTCTGATAATTCTTCTTATGATCTTATAATAAGGGAAAAACAGGGCAAAGGGATTGAATGGTCTATGTCACCATTCACACATTTACTCAAGGTGCAAAGTATAAATAACAGCTCCAAATAATAAAAATAATGAGATTGTTGGTTTCAAAGAAAATCTTTATAACCAATGAATCAATCAACCAGTCATTCAAAGTTTAAAAACACTTTACAAGTCTTGGAATAAGCAGCCAATGAAGTGTAAAGTATCTGCTCACTGATAAAAATAAATACATTTATGTATAACATTTAAAAACCCCACTTTCTGAACATAATTTTTATCCAGTTCTCTTGTTCTAATTGGGCTGGTAGTTGTGAGCTGAGTGGGGACAAAACGTAATCCTGTTCCAGGTTAGGGATGGGGAGAAGGGGATGGAAAATATGTTGATTTTAAAATAAGCCTCAGTGGCAGAGCATCAGGTTAATTTTTTCAGTTTAATTTATACTTATCTGAACTTTAGCTGTTCATGGTAGGTGAGTGGTATTATTTAAAAGGGCATCACTTTTATACCAGTTCAAATAGAGCAGATTTCTAAAAATAATATATTAAACCTGTAGAACACTATATTTTCCACTTTATACAAATTTATAGTTGTTGAAATCAATTTGATTCCTGTCCCTGGGACCAATTTGTTTCAAATTCATCTGCTTCAGAGTTCTAGAAATTGGGGAATCAACTGAAAGAACTATTTGTATCAGAGTTGGGGAGCTGACCACCTGGGAGGATAAGGAGGTGTTTGGTGGTGGAAATGTGGTGAGCGACACTCCTGAGTGAAGCAGCAGTCTGAGCCAAAGTTTAGAGGGGAATAAGCAGGGTCTGTGGGAATCTGGCATGCCCAGGGCTGAAAGGTATATGACGGGTGGGGAGGGAGACGGAGCTGGAAAGAGAAGCAGATCACATACAGGGGAGATCCCACAGGACCTAATGATGCCCAAAAAACACTTGTTGAAGAAACAAAACAGAGATGGTAGGAGCCAAAGGAGGAGGTTTGGACCACATGGTTCTTCTAAGCCATTGTGTTCCCTGACAACTAAGTAAGACACTTCTCGAGGGTAGGGATGTCCAGTGCACACTGTCCTCCCTGCCCCACTCCCCACTGGAAAATGGCTCCCTAACAACTGAAAACACAAGTAGAAGCTCCTGAGGGAGTAAGGACCCTTTCCTGGGGGCTTCCTGTGAGTTCACCACACAAAGTTGGGAACAGACAATTCTATGGTGGACCAGTCTTTCATGGAAGACAACATGCTCATGAGATGTCATAAGATGGAGTCCCTTATTCCATCAACTGCCAACCACTCTACAAGCACCAGCCCAAGCATTCCTGAGGCTCAGAACCCGGTGATCTCATCTTTAGAGAACAATGGGACTGGGACCTTCTGGGGACTCCCATTGGTGGGCAGAGTAGTGGGTGAGTTCACTCTTTGCAGAGCTATAGTCCTGGTAACCAGAGTGAACTTTATGGATTCACGAAAGGAGGACCTGGGCCTCCCTGGCCGTAAGTACACCCAGACCTTTTGAGTGTGAGCGACAAACTTTCAGGGAAGACCCTTTGCATGGATGGGGTGGTGGCTGCCTGAATGGAATGCTATTTAGTTAAGAGACAGACTCCTCTAGGAAACTAAGGACTCCTTGAAGGCAGAGACCATGTTCTGCCCAAGCAGAAAAGATACAATTGAGGTCCTTGCCCTTAGTGAGGCTTCTCGGTCTGAATGACTGCATGGGTCCTGGACTGGGAGCCAGAAGGCCTGTCTTGAGTCTGGGCAGGTCTGGCCACTCTACACCTAGTGTTCCTTATCTGAAAAAGGCTAATGGGGTCTCTTATGTGCCCTGCAAATATAGCTTTGACTGAATCAGGAAATTATTAGGCATGTCTTTGAGAAGGGTGGGAAGGAATGAGAGGAAGAATGAGCCAAATCCAGGAGAGCAATGAGAAACAGTTCAGGTCCCAAGTTAGAGCTGTCAGTCAGCTTGTCTCTTTTCTTTTCTTTTTTTTTTTTTTACTGCCTCAGCATGGGTCCCATGGTACTTCGGGTTTTTGGGGCTCTGCACCGTGATAACTGGTGGCTGCATGCTCTTACTCCACTGGAGGAAGAACCTGCGGAGGAGACAGCGTGCCCAGCAGTGGGTGGAGGTGATGAAAGCTGCCACCTTCAGTTATAGTCCACTGCTCTACTGGGTCAACAAACGACGCAGATATGGCATGACGGTGGCCATCAGAATAGACCCTCCCTGGGCTGTTGCCTATACTGATATTCAACTCGAAATTCCGGATCTTCCATCAGAGCCGCACCCCCGTGAAGACAGGCGTCATGCCTTCAGAGGCAGCAGCCCCGAGGCAGAAGACCCTGTTCCCCTCCAACCTGCTCTGGTGGTCCCACAGCAGCCCTCACCTAAGGGGATGCCAGAGCGCCAGACCCCATCGCCCTTCCCGATTGTCTTTCCAGATATCCCCTCTGCCCCTCGCCTCAGCA